ACACGTAGAGGAGACACGACCCCCCCCCCCCCCCCAAAAAAAAAAAAAAACAAACCAAAAAACAAAACCACAAAAAGCCCACCAGACAGGGGAGATCATTGAATCCTAAAGGAGATGGGACCAATTTTCTTCTGAAAGTCTCCCTTCCTCCCTCTCTCAGCTGAATTCAGAGGGTCTCCTGAATAACCTTGAGATGGCTCAAGTGAGGAGAGAGAAATTCCAGCCTCTTCTCCTGTATCTGGTATTTTACCTCTCTGTATGGTTTTGGTAATACCAGTGCAGGAGTATTATGTCTATTTTCTGGTCTCTGTATTCTTAAAATGTCATTGCAAGATTGAACAGGGTGCAGATAAGAGCCCCAAAACTGATTTAAGTGTGACATAAAATGCCTTGTGGTGAGATAATGCATGAGCTTGAATTACTTCATTTATTGAAAAGATGATTGAGAAGTGACTTGATTACAATGTATAAGTACTTTCACAGGGAGAAAATACCAGGTACTAAAAGGCTCTTTAGCATAGTATAGAAAGACATAAGAAGAACCAACTGCCAGAAGCTGGAGGCAAATTTGGATTAGAAATTAAGCAGCAATATTAGTACCACTTTAGCCACACATAAGTTACTAGGTTCTATACAGAAGAAAGAGGATAAAATTTATCTGTCCATGATACACAGGAGGTCAGGCAAATTGGCCAAGTTGTCTCTCCTGACCATAAAACAGGAGTCTGTAAAACCAGGAGTGTTTTTTGTAAAAATTTGCTTTGTTTCATTCAAAACTACCTGGAAAAGTATGGCATTCTTATTCCTTTCAAGAATTTAGTTTAAATCAAACCAAGAAATTTTAAATTAAATCATTTAAAAATACTGGGTGTCAAAATAATCGCTCTCTGCATTGTTTAGGGAGAGCAGACTTAGATTTCCAGATGTAATAATATTTCAGTCCATAAAGCAATAGAGAAGTTACAGGTGTCTCTGAGTGCCTTGTGTTACTTGGCATCAATACTTGTAAGCGTTTCTGTTATCTTCTGTGACATTGCCAGCTGAAGGTAAGGGTGACAGTGTATAGAACCAAGAGCAAGACAAGGCTCTCTGTTGGAAGGACATTTTAAATAGCAAGAGTTAATCAAGCCATTAAAGCTAAGAAACTCATCCTTTCTTGTTATGCAAAGCGGTTCCCAGAGGTATATGTTTTATGTATGTTGCTCTGGCTATGCCCAAGAGAGATGGCTGCCACACACACCATGCACTACAACATCATACTAGAAAAGCAGGTGTTTGGCCGCCATCACATCTCTCTTCCTTTCTACATCAAGTTGCTTTTAATTTTTAGGCTTTTCCACCTTTATGGAGTAGGCTGATATTATTGCACTTCTCTATTAGTCGTCATTGCTTTAGGCAAAAAGATGTTAATGTTCAATTATAAAGGGACTGTGTTACAGAGGTGAATATACAGAGAGCAGTATTAACTAAAACTTAGTATATGATCTCCTAGGCTACTAACTGCAAGTTTTTATTTCTTTTCCCCAAGTGTTAGCATATGTAGTATTATTACTTTATTGCATTATGTGCCTGTAGTGAACATTTTTTTTAATTGTAATAAGATAAGAATAGGTTACTCTTTTTCTGAGTATAGGAATAAATTTAGCTCTCATTTTATCTTCCACTAATTTTGGATACTTCGATGATCGGGTTTTCTTTGTAGATTATTTTTTTCATGGCCACTGACTGTATTCAATGCATATTTTCAGAAAACAGTTCCTAGATAAGCTGAGTGCAACAATCTAGAGAAAGGAGGACCACAGAGTTACCATCTCTTATTTGAAATTTGGTCTTTGTGATTCATTCTTAATATGTAAAACATCTAATGGCAAAATAAGGAAGTCTAGGGGATACCAGCTGTGCAAGCATGTTTTTCCTGCTTACTTCTTCAGTGTCCAAATAGCAGAGATTTTAGAACTTAATTTGATATTTGAGAACTTATAATTACATTATATTTACTAAATGCTTAATTAATGAAAAACAATTCAAATGTTGACCATGTTGGTGGATCCTATTTTAATGTCCAGTTTTGCTTTGTTTTTTTTTTCACTCTAGATAAACTTGCCTTGGAAGGAATAGTGGTGCAACGTGCTGAATGCAGACCTGCAGCTAGTGAAAATTATATGAAACTGAAAAGGTAGGGGTGCTCTATTACAAATGGATATGTGATGCCTGACTTTGATGCTTTTATTATTGCCTTACTAGGGATGGATGACTTCAGTATTATCATGGTCTTACATAGGATTTATACAGGATCAGAACTGTTCTTGCTTTTGGGGTGGATTTACTGTAGGGAAGGAGCAAAGGCTGGTGTGGGGCTTGTACCTCCCTCTGGTATTGTCTGGTGGGATGATGTAGACTTCTGCGTTCCATCGCGTGCAAAACTCTCACTTGAGCACACATTCTGCCTCTTGATACCTGAACGTACGAATGTATGGCTATATAAGCTGAATTTCCTGAGGACTTAGTTTTGCATTGATCTGGTCAGGACAAGCTTCTTGCGTATGGGTTTCTGTGTGGATCATCCAAATTTAATTCCACTTAATACTGTGCCGTGCTAGACAAAGAGCACCTCTGAAAAGATATTAAAAAGCCCAAAATAGGAAAGAGTTAAGGGAGAAGTGCTAGACCTAAACTGGCATGCTTGCTAGAAAAGGCAATGGCTGAAAATGTCAGAAGTGACATGGACACCACAAGACATAAATTTAACAGAATCATTTAGTGACTTGAAAACTTAACCTGGTACATCTAGAATTTACCATGTGATTCATATATCATATGGACAATTAACTTGATGACATTCTCTAGTAATAAATCAGAATTTGAATTGAATTGTGCATTATAGGAAATACATACTTATGTATTTTAAGCATGTGGGTTTTACTGAAATCACCCTTTTGTATTTTGAGTTTGTTGTAAATAGAGAAATGCAAAGCAGGAAATTTCAGGAAGAGAATAGTCTGTGACTAGTTTTAGAATCATCAAAAGAAATGCAGAAAAGGCAAAGTGATGTTTTTCCCCAATTCCTGATCTGTTTTCTGTGTATCCTATACTACATTTACAGTATCTTATGTTTTATTAACCTCCTCTGTCATCTAAGCTGCTCCAGTATTTCCTTATTGTGTTCATTCAATTCCGAGACTTTATGTTCTAGCTGTTGGCAAATCAGGACCATAACTTTGCTCATGTACAGTGAACTACTTCATTTCAGACAGTGTTCTGTGATTGCTATCATGATTTTTGTCATCAGTATGAAATGGAGTATGAAGCAAATGTGATGTTACTAGGAAAGGACTCATTTCAATCTGACAATTTTAAATATATACAAATATAGTCTGTGGGATGTATTTGCTTCATAATTGTTTTAATCACAGGTTGCCTGATCTAAGTGCTCTTTTGCATTTTGTATACAGTCTTCTATTAGTCGATCAGATAATCTTCTTCTGGTAAGGGCACAGCAGGAGAGCAAAACAAAACTGATAGCTTTAATGACATACTACCCAAACTTTGAATTTTTCAGAATTCTACTTTCTGGCACGCATGCATGCATGCAGCCCCTCCTGGTCTTTGATTTTGTCGTGTTCAACTCCTCTAGGAGCAACAAACACGAAGGCAGGTTTTGTGTTTGGAAGCACTGGCAGCTGAAAACTGACAGTACCCTTGGTATTTCTTTCCTGTAGAAAAATTGTCAGGCTGTGTATGCCTCGTTTCTAACTTTCCATGTTGTTAAAGATTTTTTGCCTTTTACTGAAAAGTTAAAAAAAAAAAAAATCTTATCTGGTGGGAATCAGCATGAGATTTAGCAGATCTAGCAGTCAGCCTCAGAAGAAATTGGTTTATATCCAAATACCGTCTCTGGTATTTGAGGAGTAGGATCTAACTTTTCTCTTCACTCCCTTTATTCTCTCCCACCCTCAACATGCTGCAGTCTGTATTTGTGCTTTAAAAAAGTGACAGCATTGAAGATAAACCACGTAAGTTATAGAACTGTGTTATATTAAACCATTTTTATTCACTTTTCTGTTTACTATTGTGCTTTACATGAGAGAGACTCTCCAAAGGTGGAACTGATAAAACAGCAAGTCTGTTGTGTAGGCTTTAAGTGCTACAATAGTAAATTGAGTCAGGAAGGAAATAAAATTAAAAGATAAATGCAGTTACTTCAAACTTTGAAGATCTAGAAAATGAAGTTAAGCTGCACACTCTAATAACTGTAATTGTTTGTTTTCTGAGAGCTGGCAGTGACCAAAAGGGATTATATGCTTCCCTGGTATTAAATACAGATATGGATCCCCTCTATTTTACCATCTGTATCTGGGTCAAGGATATTGGCCGCTGGGTGCACGGCGTGGCATTTGATTTCCATGCTGCTCTGTAGAGTTTCTGTGAGAGGACAAAGTGATGGTCTTGTGATGGGGCTGCCAGCAGTTAGGTGGGAGATATGTGTGACGTGTGGGTTAAAGGATGGGTAATGAAAGCACAGAATTTGGTGAGATGTATGGGCGAAAGCGTTGTCAAATGTAGCAGATGGAAGGACGATTTTTTTCCCAAGGAGCAACCGTTGATTTGATTACGGGAAGGATGTAGATGGCTGATGTTCAGAACACTTTGAATACAAGGTACAAATGTGTGTCTGGGGATAACTATTCAGAAAGGTAAAACAAAGGTTATGTGACCTTCACTTGGTATCTTCCATTTTGGAAGTTTTGGTTTTGGCAGATTTTATTTTTTTTTTCCTGAACTTCAAGTGCTAAAAGGGGAACAAATGCCATGAAACACCTGCTATCCTGCACTAGTAAAGCTTCATGGTACTGAATTTCCTAGAAATTTTTTATTAATAATGTATTTGTTCTTTGTAATGCCTTAATGATTAGTTATACATTTGCAGTTACTGCTGGTGATGGTATTGCGGCTAGCTGGAAAATAATAAGTGGTTTCCAAGCACCTGTCCTAATTTCTGTCTTGTGGGAGTGGATCTCATGGTCTCACTTAAAAATATTTGGACTGTGTGGTGAAAAAAAACAGTCAGACTCTGTTCCCAACTGCAGACGGTTTTACGGTGTGGTAGTCACAGAAGATACTGCCCCTACAACTACTCCTTCTGGTTGATACTTCCCTTCTCGCCCCATCAAGCCTGTAGGACACAGGAAGATGGTGGCATGTGAACTGTTGTAGCAGAGGGTGCGTATCACAGATGGGGTTACACGCAAGGCGTATTGTACAGCACACACTATATTTGCACTGGTCTTGTGCCCCCGCCATGCGTGTCACCTTAGGTAGGCAGTCTTTTCCTTCTGGCAGGCCACCCTAGGCGGGCTCCACATCCACCCTAGCCAGTCCCACTCAAACGAGATTATTTTCTTTATCTCACTGTAGTCAGCTTTCCACCATAAGGAGGCATTATCTGTCCCTTAATTTTGTCTTTCTGAGGCTTAAGAGATTTTTATTTCCATTACCTTCGTTCCATGGTCCCAATGCTTAACTGCCTTCGGGTTAATGACTCCCCAAAGAGACAGGTCCCCCAAGAGGCTAGTCTGCACTGGGAAGGACACGACACAGGGAGAGGGGAGTCCGCCAAACTTTCAGGATCCCCTCAGGCTGCAGATGACTTGGGAGGAGATGAGAATAAGATTTGGATACTCCTGAGGGGCTTCTGCTATGCGCAAAAGAGAGAAAATGAGGGACTGGCATGCACCCCATCTCATATTCTGTCTGCCAAATTACCTGTTTCCGTCCTTGCACTGGTCTTCCCGTCTGTTCTGTTCTTCCCTCTGACCATAGTGAACCCTCTTCTTCCTCAGTTTTTTCTCAGTCCCCGTTTCCCATTTCTGTTTACTTCTCTTCCTCCATTTCCTCACAGAAAACATTTTTTTTTTTTTTTTTTTAAATAATTTGAACACATCCCAAACTATGTTTCTTTTTGAGGAAAAGTTGAGAAGAAAAAACTATAATCTCTGCGAGATTAATCTCTCTTCTGCAAAGCTCCGATTCAAACTGACATTGTCAAGTTGAGTAGCTACAACAAGATCTCCAGGACTGCTCAGGTCCTTTGCGACGGGATGGCTGGGCACCAAGCTTGCAGCTCTTGAGGGAGGTTTTGAAGGCTTATGCAAAGTGCATCTCAAGCGATTGTTGAATGCAGTGTTTGATAGCGCTTCCCTAACAGTAGTGAATGGCAGGCAAAAACTGGGATAAAATCAGAGACCTCGTTTCATTCTCAAATGTGCCGGTGAAATGCTGGGCACCTTTCAAAATGGATTTTGGGAAACTGATTCAACTATACATAATCTGAATTACTGAACTCTCCCAAACTGTATACCAAATAAAAAAAAGGAGTCCCGGGATTTCAGAAAGCCTGGAAAGAGCTGACATTTAACACTACAGTGAGGCTGGTAATTCCTATAATTCTCTTAAATAACTTAAAAACACATCTTGAAAATCATTAGTGTAAATGGTAGTTGCCAACATGGCAGCTTGTAACAAGGCTGCGAGAATTTTGTATGTCATCTTGCTTTTTCTGTTAAGAGTTTTCTCCAGAGAATGTGATGAAAGTCTTTAGAAAAAGTTACTGGAAGAAACATACGTGATAGGCTTTTAGGAGAAATGGGTTGTAAACTGTTCTAGAATAATTAATGAACTTCCATGTTTGAAAAGTCACATTTCTGTACAACCATATTACGTAGGCCGCTAGAAGTCCTGACACTTGGTGGTCTAGGCCAAGAAAGTGAAATTTGATTTGTGCAGACTAGTTGCTCATCTTCGCTAAAATACTGTGAGAGTATTGACTGACTGACAGTTCAGTGTGTTGCTGAAAATTAGCATTATGCCAGCTTTTTTGCCCCAAATATCCCCTACTAGCAAAAGAAAACGCATAATTTGACCAGCATGCCACTTCATATGCATTTTTGTAGATATGCTCGGTTGGCTATGAATTCCCTTTCAAAATAAATATGTATGAATATGTTTGTGCATTTTCCACAAAAGCTGACACACTGCACAAATGCTTGTTCAGTTTGTTTGAAGTGGGAGGCCATTTTTACCCAAAGCTGAGATTGCATCTGCCTGTCAGTCAATGCAACCTTGATTTTTCAAGTATCGAAGATCAATTTCTTTGTCTCGAAGTAGAATTCAGCATAA